AAACATCTTAATTTCGTCTCCATTTCTGGGAAATTAAGTTGTTTCGTCCATACAAAAATCAGTTTCAAGGTTAGAGCGAAATTAAGGAAAATAGCCTTGATTTCGTTGAAACGAAAACCGAAATTAAGGGAAATTTCAAATGCAACTATGCGTAAAATAAGTTTTAAGAAAAAGATAAGCTAGCCCCACCCATGATCGCTGCCATGATTAGCCCTACCCATCATCACACTTCGCTTTAAAATAGGTATAAGGTTAAAATAAGCGTTTAGTTCAGAATACATATTATTAAACCATTAATATAAAAATAAATTAATAAAGTTATTAGAAATCTGCTTTATTAACAGGTACTAAAGACCTAAACTACTTGCTTAAGGCAATACTGCTCTATCCACCATTAGAAACCTTTAAATTTATCAGAATGTTGTATTAAGATGTATGTTAAAAGTTCTATGATATATCAGAAATGAAGATTTACCCGAAAACTTTAGAGTCGAGAGTGTGCAAAAGTGCATCAAACATAAAGCGTTGATATTTTGTTGGTCATATGGTCCTTCTACTTAAGATACAGATGTTTTCTAAAGAATTTTTCACCAACGGATACTGAACCAAACACTTTTCTAGCCGACGCAATATCTTCCATTCATACAGTATGGTGAAGCCAGTAAAGTCGCTGTAGTTTTATGGTATAGCTTATACAGCTTATTATACCAACTAATTCGATACTCGTTGTCCACACATAAAGGGCCATAGTTCTTTAGAAGAATTTATCTCTAAAATGCTTATAACGCCTTTATATCACTGTTGATTATTACTATATTCCGCTGCACCATACAACTGAATAGGCCGGATAACAGACTAGTAGATCGTGAGTTTTAATATCGAGAGACTGCTTTTTTTCTCAATTGCCAACTTAACCCAAAGATGTGTTTACAAGAATGATACTTTGTTGAATCTCTGAACTGACATCATTTTTACTTTTTACTACAAAGTCTTACACTTTAATTCGAACTTATAGCTGTCCATAGTGACTTGGGTCCCAAGATACTTAAAAAATTTGTTAGTTGCCAGAAAATACTTTGTTTTTTCCTCATTTATCACAAAACCCATTTATTTCATTAGTTTTAACATACTTTAACTTCCACAATATATGATATAATATATAGTAAATGATATAACTTTCAAAATATAAAACTTTCTCTGATATATGAAAAATGGCAAACAAAATTTTTTTATATTTAATTAAGCAATACTCCAAATCTAAAATAAATAGTAAAAAAAAAGAAAAATGTTAACTAAATTGAGGCATATTTTATGAATACTCCCACAATTTTTGTGCTTGATAAAAGCACAGATTACTGCCATTTCCTTTTCCCTTGCATTTGCACTTGTTTTAGCTCTACTATTGTACTTTTTCCTGACATTTTAAAAAGGGTCACAGAAACTTTACTTAAACTCTCAACACCAAAGGTTCAAGTTGTCTTCATCTACTTTGAAAAATTCTCTATTAAAATACTTGTCCCCACGCCCATACATATACACACACACGCATCCATACGTATGTATGTAGACTGTAATTTACATATCCCCCAACAGAGGCACAAACACGCATTGCCATCATCACTTACACAAATTATTATAGTATATCAGGATAGTTTAGTGCAAATAATTGGGGTTTCCCGTATTCTCACAAATGACGCAAGCAAGTGCGTAATATGAAATTTAAAAAGAAAAAATATATACGTAATATAGAAAAAAAATAAAAAAGTAAAAAATAAAATAATTGAAAATAAAGGAAATAAAGAAAAAATTTTAAAAATGTAGAAAATAAATTTTATGCGCAACACTTGATCACAAAAGCGGCATTTCCTGATTTTTTTCCATTATTCTATAAAAATTTTTCTATTTTATTTTACTTTCATGCTTATCACAAAAATTCAATTCAGCCACACAATAACCGCATTGAAGAGCAAAAAATAAAATAAAATATTATAATATCTAATGCAAATGGAAAAAATAACTTAGAATAGTAGAAAAAAGGCAAAAAAATAGAACAAAAAAAAAAAAAGAAACTAAAGTACAAATACGTTTTATGGTCTTTGGGTCAGGTTTGAAAAGTTGTGGTTCACTTGGGTTTATTCAGGACAGCAAATCAGACACATCGATCTTAAAAAAATGCTTTAGTACTGCTACTACTATTGCCGCTACTACTGTTAAAAGATAAAAATATATATAGTAGTCACTACCTTAAAAGGACCACATTTATATTGATACGAAACTACATACTTTAAAGTGTAAATATGTATTTGTGTGACAGACACACACACACACACACACAGACAAATTGAAATTTTAGGTCTATACATTTAGGCATTGAAATAAATACCTTAAGGAAAGTGCAAGTTTGGCACTTGCCAACGCTTTGTAAAGACAAATATGTCATATTATTCTATTTCTTTCGTATTCCAGTTGCATATCTGCAAGTTTACATATTTATGTTATATGTACAGATGTATAACATAGCACTGTGTGCGCATACATGCATGTGTCAAACATGTAAAATATGAAGTATGCTCTGCTGCAGTAGTGCTTATGGGAATAGTCTGCAATGAAACAATAGAAGGCGAAGAAACAAAGGAACAAACAAAGCGTACAGGTTACGTTATTTCTCTGCGTAACAAGCAGCCCAGGAAATAATATTCTGTAATCATTTTTGAATGTCAGAGGAATTATGTACCATTGTCAACACCAGTCGTAGATATGTATATAACAGCAATGTAAGCATTAAATGTCTGTAAAGACTAAAGATTTCTGTGCAATTATCAAATTTGTACTAATAATTCAAAATATATAAGACATGTTGTTTATTAGTTTATAAAATCATTTATGAATTTATATGTCGAAAATTTATAATAAATTGAACTCATCATAAATACTCTAATATAATTTGTATATAATAAAATTTGCTATAAATCATAAGTAAATTATAAGTAAATAAACTCAAGCTAAATTGGTTGCCATCAAACTCAGTGCTCTTTCCCGATGATTTGTAATTTATATAGAACACGCTTTTGTATTGAATCAGGATTTGTTAGTCCCTAAAGTACTACATTTGCTCTAAACCAAACCTTAATCTAAAGTTAAACTTCTTTATGTCTAATAAGGAAAATTAGATAAAGTGATTTATGTTAACATAGTAGACATTTACACTGGAGACTCTAAAATAGTTGGAAGAATCGTCAAGAAGTAAAAAAAATAAATCAAGTCTTAAAAATGCATATTATTTAAAACAAGCGAATTTAGTTGCAACCTGACTCAGTGTTCTTTCCTGCTGGATTGTAATTGACAATAGACACACTTTCATACCGAATGAGGATTTGTTAGTCCCTGTTTTAAAGTACTACATTTGCTCTAATTCAAACCTCAATATAAAGTTAAACTTTCATATACCTAGTAATAAAAATTAGATAAAGTGATTTCTATTAATACGGTAGAGATTTATACTGGCGACGCTAAAATAGTTGAAAGAATCGTCAGTGGCATATTTTCGAATAAACTGGTTTTTCGACTACCAAACCATTGCAATGCCTTTTCGGCAGAAGTAATGGTGATTTACTATCTAGCATTGTATGTTCTAAGCAACAAGATATAAATATAGATGAACGAATTAGCAATGATATATTTTCTAATAAACTGGGTCTTTGACTACCGAACCATTGCAGTGTCTTTCAGGCAGAAGTAATGGTGATTCACTATCCAGCAAAGTGTGTTCTAAGAAAGAAGATATGAATATCAAAATCTTTTTGGACACCCTAGTTGCAACTAAATCTCTAGTAGGCGATACAACCACATCCTTAAGAGTTCAACCATAGTGGTTTTCTCTTAATAAGCTAACTAGACCTTTCAGTATCTGTTTTACATGAGTTCCTGGACACAGCGATATCTCGGGCAAAGACAAATGAGCTTATTAAGGCAATCAGTCTACTTCCTGAAAAGTATTCAGATAATTATCTCAGATATTGGTATCGTAATCTTACTAAATAAAAATTGATAATAATTTTGCATATCTTAAAAATCTAACATCTATTCTATTGAAATAGCGTCAGTTTCAAGATAACTGGTATCTATGAAAATAATTTATGTTATTTACAAATATTGACATTAAAGACAATATTCTATAATTGTGTGTAATATAATAATATTATTGTGTCTTAGTTTACTCCAGTTCTCCTGAGAATCCACTCAAGCCTATTGGTTCACTGTGCTATTGTATCTTACTGGTACAGTAAATAGATATAGTAAATAAATTGTGAGTAATATAAGAATATTTTTGTATCTTAGGTTATCTTAGGTTAGAGATCCCGAGGACACACTTAGGCCTACTATCGGTCCTGTGTGTTATTGTATTGTACTAGTACAGTAAATAGGTACAGAAAATAGGTTGTAAGTAATTTAAGAATATTATTGTATCTTAGATTATATGTTACCAGCAACCCTGAGATATACTTAGGCCTACTATCGGTCCTTTGTGTTAATGTGTCTTACTGGTACAGATAATAGATAATACTTATTCTGGAAGTTTTTAAAACATTCGTAAATAAAATTTTGTGTCTTTCATTTTTTAAAGGATGCATTAGTTCTGTTTGTCTTATATTACGAAAATAAAATCAGCTCCAAAAAGACTGTTCAAAAACTATATTGTAAACACATCACATCTTTGTTTTTTCGTTATATATATTTTTTAATGATAACTTGATTGTAAATTAGTTTTATTTTTATTGAGAGATACCTAATTCAAGATATAAATTAAGTAAAAAATCTATCTTAAAAATGTGTCAGAAAAGCGTTAATACATTATTCTCATCAGCCATCAAATAACGTTACTCATACGATATGTTGTACAAAATTTTTCACGTATTTCTTTTATAAACTCTAATATACTTAGTTTATAAATAATATTATAATTTATTATAATATTTGTATACATTAAAGCTAGCACTCACCTTTCCGGATGACGAGATCGTTGATGCCGATGGTGTACCCGATGATTGTGCACTTAGAGCGGTTCTACTGCTATTTGATTGCATTGCACAGTTTCAGAGGAGCGCGTTCAGACGCTGCAGATTTGCATTGTCGCGTATCTTATCAGGACAATTTTTTTGATAGTTTGTGCATTTTTTGTCGTATTATTACTTCTCTATTATATTCTTATATGCTATTTTGTGCGTTTTATGAGACTACAACTAACCTTGTTTAAAAAAGTTTAACGTTCATTGAAAATTTAGAAGCTTAAGAGGATTTGCTAGAATTAAACAGAAATTTTATTTCGTTTTTTTTTTTGTGTAAGTATCTAAGTAATATACTTTGATAAATATACAAACACACAAATATACACATCATTGAGCATTAAGTATGGTGCTAAATAATCGTGAAAAACATAAAAACAGAAAAAAATTCTTTCAAATTGTGTTTTAAAATTTTTGCACACGCGATATTTTTATGCAGGACCTAATTCCTATATAAGTATAAGCCACCTAAAAAAATATGTGCTATTTTAAGTAAAAATTGATGATAAAAACACTTCAGTTTTATGCACTCATTTTAATCCTTTACGCCAACCAACGCATTTACAACAGGGGGGAGAGCAGGAAAATCGCACAAGAACATTTTTAAATTTTCACATATTTTTTTTTTTTTGTTATTTTTATATATCCGAGAATACAGGTATGAGTACGTACGAGTATATTTTTTTGTACTAAATTCAGAAAAACAATATTAAATATACAGAATAAATAAATAGTCCATAGCTTAGAATTTAAAAATATGCTCAAATGCTGTATTTTTCCATCAGAAAATAAATATTGCAATGAAAATAAACAAATGAAAGATTAAACTTTGAAGCGTTAGAACTCATATTAATCTATATTTATTAATGCGAACAAAATAATTTATTATAGGATTATTTATTTGGGAACGCTATATATAAATAAAACTTAAAAATTATGAGCCAGTGCTAGATGCAGAAAGTACTGGCTCTCTTTTAAAAAATGTGGTCGACTAATTTATAATATATTGTCTTTTGAGATCAATAAATCATGTAGACATAAATGATGAATTATTATCATTCGTGTTCTTAAGAAAATGAATATTGCTCTCATATTAATTGGAATCCGCTTAATCAGATATATTTCAATGGTTAGTAAATGCTGAGAAGATCAAGGCAATGTTCATTACAACTCCTAAAAAGTAAAATCCAAAGAAAATAAAAGTCAATAAAATGGGAAAATAATGGAATGCTGAGAAGATCAAGGCAATGTTCATTACAACTCCTAAAAAGTAAAATCCAAAGAAAATAAAAATCAATAAATTTGGAAAAGAATGGAAGGCAACGCAAAATACTTTGTTCTAACTTTTGACAGAAGACACACTTCACTAAAGAATATATTTGTCAATATAACTCTGCTTGTAATATAACTCTGCATGCCCTAAAACCAGAGCTGCTCAAGCCACCATTAGAAAACTGCAAACTTTTTAGAATACATTGTACTGAGATGTAAACTTAAAGCTTTATTGTACATTAGAAATAAAGATATACACAAGGACTTAACAGTCGAGAGTATACAAAAGTATGTCAAAGAACCAGCGTTGAACTGGTTTGGTTTTGTAGATGCTTTCATTAATTTAAAATTGCAATCTCTTTAATCAAATGTAATATATTTTTTGTCAGGAAAATATACCGGGCTGCAAACTATATTTCTTTAAATTCACCTGAATAACTCATTATTTAATTCAGCGGAGCTTTTGTTACATGGAATCAACCAAGTGGTCACAGATTACTGAGTAAAAGTGTTTTAGACACTAACTCAGGTTTCAGCAAGCAAAGAAAAAAAAGAAGTTTTATCTTATTTTATATAACTAAACTGAAAGAAACAGTTACCGCAGCAAAAATATAAGAAAATTTCAATCCACTTGCGTTCAACAAAATCATCTACAAACTACTCTGACTAGAACCGCTATTAGAATTCAGAAAGGCTGTTTAACAGATTATATACATATGCTATTGGAAAAAAGATGCTTAAAAGATATAGATAAAAAATTTAATAAAAGAAAAACTCCTAAAATAATATTGTCCACATATTATTAACACTGATTGATATATCAAATAATAAAAAAATCTGACGAAGCGGTGGGTCAGAAATGAAATCAGAACTGAATTCATTTTCTTAGTAACCATTTGAGCTCAATTTATATCCAGATAATAATATTGTTAATATATTTTTAGCAATATCTATCTAATATGAAATAATAAAAAAAAATCTTGATGAAGTAATTAAGTAAAAAATCTGACGAAGAGGTGGGACAGAAAATGAAGTCAGACCTGATTTTACCTTCAGGAATCTTAGTAAGCAATTGAGCTCTATTTAATTCCGTATAATAATGCTGTAATATTATTCATATATAATCGGTAACGCCTAGAGTGATCCAGAAGAACCAATTAGTAAATTGAGTAAAGAAAAGTGATGTTATGAATACCTATATGAAAACGTGCATTACTAAAAAATTTGTAGAGACAAATGGAGAAGAGACTAAATTACACTTGGAAATTTTTATAATAAAAATAAATATTTAAATAAAAATACACACAAGATTTTTAAATCTTAACGAACACATTATTAATAGAAACGAAAGTGGACTCAAAACAGTCAATTAATATTAATTTTATTTTTTTTTATTAACAAAATAAGTGCCATTAAATGCAAAACTATTTTACCGGCACTTGACTAAGTCCACTACACATTTTTCGTAGACTACTTTTGGTATAGCCTTCAAGAGGTCTTTCTCGGAGTAGTGAATTTAGGTTTGGGAGCGTAGAAAGATTGGTGGAGATCATCTCAAATGGGTAAAATGCTCTTGATCTATCCCGTTTATTGAGTTTTTTCCAGAAACTTTTGCATAACTCATTATCTCTGGTATATTTTCGTTAAATAATAAATTTCTGAATCTACATAAACTAAAATAAATAATTTCGAAAATTTCAGACACCTTACTACTTTAATGAAACAAAGTTGCCCCATTACGACTCATATGTATTTATATAAATGGTAAAACAATTACATAAATAAACAACTATATATGATGTACATCAGTAACTTGAACCGGTTTATAAGTCTATTATGCACATAAACTTACAGTTACTTATATAAGTTGAGCGTGTATAGTTCTAACGGCCTTATACAGTCGGATAGTTTTTCGAGATATATGAGAATAATACACATTGAAAGAAATTAACAGTGAAAACAAGACTGTAGGGGAACTTCCTAGGTTGGTAAACCGGAAAAAACACATAAAAGGATATTTTATGGATCATAAGAATTCAAGATTAGGAAAGATAGACTGTGTACTGTCTTTCATAAAAGAAATCGGACTTGGAGAAACACTCTAATCCGACTAAGGGGGACACAATAGATCTTGTGCGCGATCCCTTCTTTTGAATAAACTATTCTTAATGTTTTTTTAATATTCTGTATATCACAACAGACCATTTTTTGGATTTTAGAGGGTTTTGGCCATAAGGCCGATACTTCTATCTAATATTGTATATGTTATACTTGCTTGTCAAAATTATTTGGTGCCCTATGACTATTGCGTCCAGTTCAATTTGTTATATAGAGCAGCATTTACAAGTTTTTAATTTTTTTTTTGGTGTTTTCTTGGAAATATACTATATAAGAACGAAAACTTTATGAACTTCTATAAAGTTAAAAACTGTTGCGATAAACTTTAGAAAATTTTATTCTAATTTTCTTTAAAAAATTTTGTACATAATTTTTATGTATATTTATTTATTTTTGTTTTTTTTTTTCTTGGATTTTTTTGATTTTTTGATTTTACTAAATAATATTTTCAAAGTTTTCTACTTTGGAAATGCTTTATTATTTTAACTTTTTGGCCACAGACACCAAAATTACGAGAAATGCCAAACCGAACCGACAAAAACTTTTATGAAAAGCACAAAAATATGTGAAAATTTGTTTGATTTTCAGACGAGCGAGCCACAATTATCTACATTTACATACATTTCAAGTATACATTAAATGTCCTTACATGGGAAAAAATTTAAAACTAACTTTTGCGAGGACAAAAAATAGGGCTAGGTCACTTGCAAGAAATTCAACTGAAAGCAAGAAACACGAGCAGGGACACAGCAGTGAATACACTGAATATGGCCGACAAAAAATAGAATAGGACTTGGATAGAGGTTAGAAGGTAAAAGATAGAAAACAGAGGATGTAAGATGGAAGATGGAAGACTATGGCAAAATACACACAAACAAAAAAAACTTGCAATCAGATGTGCTCATGTTTGCATAAATATGTTTAGAGAAATAGGAAACTGTGTTTGCATAAGTTTTTTTATGTGTCTGTGTGTGTGTGTCTGTTTGTAGGCATTTGCACGAGCACATGTTACCGAAAATCTTTCATTTTTAAACAGACACACACATACCTATACACCTACAACAGCATTGCCACAGTCATAGCCACAGCAATACTTACGAATTAAGCATATGACGACGGTTGTGTTGACTGACTTAACTGACTGGCTGACAAAATGTCGATTGGTGTTCGCACAAATAAGTAGCATAAAATCAACAACAAAAAGCAACAACAACAACAACAAACAACAAATAAGTGAAACAAGAAGCTGAGGAAAAAAAAGCAGAATCAAAAGCAAAAGAACGGTAAACCACGAAGTTGAAGAGGCTCTGCACCACTAAGAATAAAGATGTGCGCTTCGCGTTATCGTTTGCTAATGTTGGTGCCTTTGTGTGCACACACGTGTACATTTATAAATGTTTGTTGGTATATGTGTGTGTGTGTGTGTGTTTATCTGTTTTAGACTTATACTCATATATACTATATATATATGTGGAGTACTTATGGTATAAGTTGGTAAGCTCGCATACGACATTTTGTGAATTTATGGAGCCATCGTACTTTTCCTCGCATACACATAACACTTGCAAATATTTAGTTTATGCTGCATGGAATTGAATTTCAGCGTAAATTAAGCCATCGAATTAAATAAAAATCAAATACACAAGCTACAACAACAACGACAACAACAACAAGAAGAAAAAGAAATTCAAGTTGAACATTCTTAAGCTGTGTGCAACTTTCTCTGTTTTGTATACACTAAAGGGTTAATATGTTAGTAAGTCAAACAATTTTCTAGTGGAATAGTG